TGGTTTTTCGGTGGAAGTCGTTACAAGTAAACCACTTTCCATTCTTGATGCTTGTACAAACGAGATCAATAATTCTGTACGGAGAGAAATTGCCGATGCTGGGGCAGACATTCGCCAGACATTGAGAATACAACAAAGTATCGCTCAGAAAAATTTTGAAAAGCTAAACCAATTGAAAGAGGAACTCATAGCAAATATAAGCAAATGCTTTGCACAAAAGGAAAGCTATGGTTGTTACTTCTCGGCGGTATGTAGGAAATAATGATAGATGTGTTAACATCTTCTTTATTTATAATCACAACTTTATGTAATAATATTATGTCAATTTCAGATTCAAAAAGTGATTCGGGCAGTTCAGGCTCAAACTCATAGTTTTTTCCCAGTTGATAATGTGAAAATATTCTTCCGTTTAGKCGAACTCTTCAAGAGTTTAAAAAATGAATATGCGAAGTTTTATGTTTGCTTAGTGCGACACCACAGTTACATCACCGCCTGGAAAAGAAAGTGCTGATTCCGCAGAGGCAGAAGAGACCACAGCAAGCTCATAAATTTTTCCACAGACTTGGTTAGAACCTCCAGCCGCTTCAGTGAGCTCTGCAAGAGGAAGTTCTGATTAATCAGAGGCAGAGCAGACCACAGCAAGCCCATTAGGTCTTCTGCAAATTTTATGAAATAAAACTGTATCAAAAATATGTGAACTGTGCTAATTTTTCATAATAAAAAGTGCTTTACCATTTCTACACTTATATTTTCATTAGTAGGATTAATGCATTAATAGATCTTGGTCCATTTCTCTTACATTAATTGGAATAATTTTGTATGGGTAGACTTATCCGAGTTAGGTCAAATATGCAGAGCAAACTGTTAGATATCCAATAGCTCTGACAACATCCAGATCGTGGTGCACTTTGCTATCTAACTTATATGGACTATACTTGACTGTTGTCTTATATGTATTACATTATAATCCTATAGCTAGCATACAAATTGATCGAACAAACTCAAATCCTTGTCTAGAAGTCGTTTCTTTTCTTCAGAAATTTTATGTACGGATTTAGACATAGATTATTTTCAAAATCTGTGTTACGTTCTCTGAACAAACTAGATCGAACCACTACAGCTGCTTTACAAACTGATCTCTCCAAGTTATGTTATTGTATGGGAAACTTGAACCAAAACTGCGACGGTCAATAACCATAGAATTTCACACGACCGCGATTATTACCGAAGTAAAACACTGCTGTCAAGTTGTTAGAGGACAGCTGTATGAGCAAGGATAAAACTTCTTTGTTGGAAATGTTCAAAGCGAATGACAGGCCAGTTACTAACTGCGCATGGATGCCGAAAGATACAGATGGAAAATATGCAGATCTATCAGAATAGCGGACTCAGAACTATAACAGGATATCTTCTAATGTTTTCCATCTATATTTTACACCTTTCTCTAAGTGGCTTCCGCTCAGTTGTCTCATCCTCATCCCCTAGGGATACCCCTCTGACGGGTACTGAAAGCAGCATCTGGATGTTTGTTCCAGCAACAAGAACTCACTCAACATATTCGTTATCAACATCTTATAAGTTATCCTGGCTTATTTCCTGTGTTTAGCATCGCTGCTGAGCCAGGCTCAGTTATAGAATAAAATTTTGAACTAGAAACACCAACAGGTTAGTAATCTCAAATAGAGTCAACTCCAGTCAGAACTATTCTACCAGAATATTCTCTCTCTTCTGAGTGATGTAAAGATCCTTTGCGTAGAAACTTATCTGTTCTGTAATCGAAAAATTACTTTATTGACTTTCTTCACATTAGCACTTTTTTGCAAAACTTAAGCGAAAGTTTTTCTACAGTTTTGGAACTATAATCTTTTATAACTGGTTCGAAAATTTGTGAATTGAACATTTACTAAATAGATATCCGTCTCCAATTAACAAGTCAATTGAAAAGTCCACGTTACGCTATAGTGAAACACATGTTTTTGACAAAATTTATTTTTTCTTTTTTATTCAACATAGTTCCCTTCATATGATTATAGTTGGAGGGTCGCCCAACTTTCCGATAACATTTTTGTACTACGATTTGTTTATTTCCTCGGGAAATGCCCGAAAATGGATAAATGACGGTGCCTTTTGTTATTGTGTATACTGCACATCAAGGTTTTTTGAATATTTGGAAATAGGCAAGAGTCATACGTTTTCCCTGCAATATAAACTGTATGCCATGGTGGTCCCAGTCGGCGGTTCAGCCAAAACAGGATTTTCTTGATTACCAAGAAATAAAAAATCAGGATTCTGTGCCGACAGATGTGAGTTAATCGTTTCAAATAAGCGTTAAAAGTAGGTGGTCGTCACGTTGCCTTCCAACTAACGGGACATTAAAAGTCATAAGCTTAGTCTGAGTTTTATTGCTATATTTTATTTCGCGTCAGCTAAAATTACATTAATAACATCTTCATGATATTAGKTCTGAACCAACTCCTTTCTAATTCGACGCTAAATATTATTTCATAATTTTAAAGAAAATTGATCCCTTTAGTTTTATTAAAATATCACATATTTTGATCAACTTAAAAGTTTGAACGCAGTTGGGGAAGGACGGAAATTCGTTTATGGGGTATATTGAGGGGAGAGAAAGGGGCGAGTATATTGCATTTATTTTGACATTGCTCATACATATATATAAAARTATTCGCATATTCGAAAGCGTAT